TTTGATGAAGCAAAAGGCCATTTCTCTCTTCTCCAGCGAGGCAGCGTTGCACGGGGATGGCTGCCTGGAGTGAGCTCCTGTTTTCCCCTCTCCTGACAGGTGCCGCTGGCGTCCCCCTCTCCGAGGCTCTTGGGGGCTGTTTGACAGGTTGGTGACTGGTTGGGGGGCACGTGGGGTTTGGATTTGACACCTCCCACCTTTGCAAAGCTGCAGAACCCCACCATCCCCCTCTGCACGTATCTACTGTCACCTCCCCATCCCGACAGACCTCCCTGGAACCAGTCAGGACCGTCCAAAGCCGACGGGGCAGCCTCTGCCCATCCCCAAGCCCTGCGCAGGCGGACGGTGGCTGCTGCAGGCAGTTGCACAAGCAGAGTGGCCTCAGGGCTGCTCTACTTTCCTCCTGTGGCAAACAGCCACCCCAAAGCTTTTCTGCAAGCCAGGGTTTACTGGAGCCCGGCAAGCTGCCCTGTGCCCCAGCTGCACGGAGGCAGCGGGGCAGGATCCGACCCCACGGGCCGTGTTTCTTGCAAGTTTGTGAGCTCAGCTGCAGTCTCACATGCCCTTGCTGGTCCCACCGGGCAGCTCTCAGTGCAGCCGCGTTGGAAACGTCGGCGCTCCGGAAAACCAGCCCCGTGTTCAGCCGGCAGTGTGATGCCAACACCTTGGTGAAGCGGGGCCCAGGGGAGCTGCACGAAGGCTGTTCCTGCGGCACTGGCCAGAGCTGCCTCATCACCCATGCAGCCCTTAAGGACAGAAATATCACCGGGTCGGCCAGACAGACAGTCCATGTGAAAAACAGCCTCCCGAGGCTCAGCAGCCTTAGCCCAGAGACCTGCACAGTCTAGAGGGGAGCAACTGCCCAGTTAGGTCTGCCCCAGGTGAGTTTTTGGTTTTAAACCTCTCTGACCAATGCCGCAAGCTTTGGCTGTGCCCAAGGAAGGAATGCAGCAAAATAAATCATCCCTGCGGGTTTCCCCGAGCGGGTCCCATCAGCAGGGACAGGCCAGTCTCTTGGCACAGCCACCTCTCCTCCTGCCAGCGTGAGCACCCGGGGTGCTAAATCACACTAGGGACCCAACTGGGCTGAAAAAAATAACCATTTGCTTTTCTTCTCTAGGTTGGACTCACCAGCCAGCTGCTGCTTTTTCCTTTCCTGGGGGTCTCAAGCTTCTTCAGCCCAATGAGGGGCTTGTTCTTGCTCCGGAGAAGCTCTGTGCTCTGCAGCAAGTCAGGGAGGGGACACGGGCTCTGCGTTTCCTCGTGCCCTGGCACAGCTGCTGCAGGGGATGGTTGGCTCACAGGGAGAGCGTCGAGCTGGTACAATCCCCTTCACCCTGCAGACACCCGGGGCACGCGAGCTATTTTCATCCCTTCAGCAGCTGCAGGAAGACACCCTCGCTCCCGCCTCTGTTAAGGGAGGCAGCTGCAGCCAGCTCTGCGGAGGGCTGGAAAAGCTCCCGGCCGGGCTGTCCCAGCTCTGACACCAGATGTCCCCGCGCAGGAGGGGGCTGTGCTGGTGCAGAGCCCATCAGTCCACTGAAACACCCTCCAGAACCTCTCTCTTCCCTCTCTGTCTGCTCCGGATGAGATTCGCTGCGGAAAGGCGATGCTCCGAGGGGGTGCGTGCTGAGCAGGGTGTCTCGGTGCTCGTCCTACAGCCCAGAGAGATCCGGGCTGGCACCAAGGCAGATCAGCACCTCCGGGTGACAACGCTGAGCGATGTGAGTGCCACTCTCTGGTCCCCACGCTCCAGGGCCCATCTGTGCAACTGCCACCGTCCCCACCAGAGACGCTGACACGCTGTGTGTGACTGGGAACAGCAGGATCCTCCTGATCCTCCTGCCCAGGAGACAGCGGTGGCGAAGGGCAGGGTGTCCTGCAGCAGCAGCCTCAGGGGCTTGGTTTTGGGGGGGGGTTGGGGGCTACAGCTTGCACCCTCCCTGCTCACTGTGGCAGCTCTGGGCTGGAGCGAGCAGGGTAGTTTGGGGAGAGCTCCTGCTCTTCAGGGGTTCAGGGTCACCCTGTTTTTCCTGGATCCCTTTGAAACAATGAACCCGCAGCCTGACCTGCACCTCGGGGGCTGCTGCTCCTCGGTCCCTGCCGCCCGTGCTCCCTCCTCCCGCCTGGCCGATGGGCTGCCAGCCATTTCCTTTGGCGAGCGCGCCGAGCGGAGGCTTTTTTTCCCCCCCATTCAGGCTGACAACCGGGCCTCAGCATCAGCTGCTGGTTGCTCAGCATCAGCCTTTCAGCAAACAGCAGGTGCAAGCGGTGCGACCCCGGGCTCCGCTGCAGTAATCCCCGCTCCCACTCCCCGCCCCCCCCGGGCCCCCCTCGCACAATATTGTCCCCTCGGCTCAAGAATGTTTTTGTCCTCTCTTCGCAGTTGTGAATTCTTTTATATATTGAAAAGAAATCTCTTTCTAATCTTCCAGCCCGGCCACAGCTCGGGAAGAGCTGCGAGGGGGAGCGTGGCCCAGCACAGCTGGGTAGGAGGATCTGCTCCCCCCCTGGGCTGCAGCAGCCCCCGGCCAGCACAGGCAGGACAGGGATCGGGCTCTCACCCCGGCCCTGGCAAAGAAACCAGCTCAGCCCCGTGGGGGGAGAGGGGAGGTGACGTGGCTGCAGGTCTCTGCTCCCAGGGAGCCGTGGGGGAGGCCCCGAGGCGAGGGGGGGCCCAGGGATGCGGAGCTTTGGAAGACGGGGTCGCTGCGGGAGGGAGGTGGGAGCAGGGGGGATGCTGGCGAGCGACGCGCTGCACGACCCCCAGGCATCATCACAGGGCTCGGCCCCAGCACATCTCCTCCGTACAGTGAAAACAAGACTTGATGACACTTTCATTATGTGTCAGCCTGTACTGAAATTGCGCAGCAAAGCCCCGGGCAGGAGGAAAACATCATCCTCCCCACAGGTTACCAAAGCCTCCTTTCCCCTCGTGGACCAGCCCCACAGGCAAGAAACCGCATCCTCTGCCGCACACGTGCACCGGCACGAGCACACACACTCCCCGCTGCCACCGAAGCGGGTGCCGGTTCCTGCCGTCCCCAGGCAGGCGGTGGGGATGGAGTGGGGGGCACAGGGGCTCACTGGGGAGCTCTTGAGAGAAAGCAGGACCTCCAGCAGACTGGAAATCCCACCTGGCAGCCCCAGCAGGTGCCTACGGGACTTGGGAGGTGTTTTTTTGGGGGGAAACCAACCCTCACAGGTCCCTGCGGAGAAGTGAGGACAACCACTGCCCTGCTCGGGATGCTGCTTGAACACGTGTCCCTCTCCTGCACCCTGAGCAGCTCGGCGTGGTTCCACCTCCCCAGACTAGGGGGGATTTGCTTTACCCCCCGTGCAGCCCCGCGCCGTAGCTCCCTTTACAAAGTCTTCGATATAACGCACAGCTGGTCTCACTGCAGCCAAACCCCTCTGCAGCAGTTTGTACATTGCAGACGTATTTTAAAACAAACGTCCTCGGCTTGTTTAGAAAACAAACATCACCCTGCTGCTGTGGGCATCCCTGCAAACATGGGCCTCTGTTTAAACTCCTGTTTTGGACATGGCTTGGGGAAGCCATGGTCCCACCTGCCCTGAGAAGCATGAGGCAGGACACCGGAGATGTTACAGCCCGTCTTCTCCACTACATCTCCCACCTCCCTTTTGACACGAGTTTCTGCATCAAATACGTTTCAGTACCTCTTCTGGCAGTGTTGTAGCTCATCACAAGCCCAGCTTTTGCAGGACAAGCAGCTCCAGAGAGGACTTGCAGAGCAAAGGGGCATCACTGAAGGACACAGAACAAGTTTTCTCCTGCAAATGCTGTCAGCGTTTATCACAGCTTGGTGTACGGCTGAGGAGCTAGAAGAGAGCAGAGCTGCAGCACCCGTGGCAGGCACACTGGGCCGGAGGGTGCAGCCCAGACCTTCTGGACCTTCCAGGGCTCAAAACAGGGCAAGAACCTGATCTCTGTTGTGAAAGCCTCGGCCTCGCACGCCTACCCCGCTGCAGCAGCCGTCTGAGATCTGGGGATTAGCACATCCTCAGGTCCAAGTGTCGCTGTTTCTCAGCAGAATGTCTTCAGCTGCAAATTCACCTGTAAGAGATCAAACCAAGGCAGAGCTTTGCTGCCTTCAGGACCTTGTGCACAGACTGTTCTTCCATCAGGTGTTCAACCACAGGGAACAAGCTGCAGAGCAGCTCTGATCACACACAGTGAGAAATAAATCACCTGAGCTGGATGCTCCAGGAGCCAGCAGCTTCAGCACGGGAACCCAGTGTGGTTTTCCTTCTTTCAAGTAATCAGTAAACTGCTAACCTGTGAAACCTACCCAGCTGCTACAGGACGGCTGCTTTACACATACAAACAACTGTGGGAGTACCTCAAAACTCACGCTGCTGGCGGGGACTGCAGGGTGCAGGTTCTCAGCCCTGCCCTTCCCCGGACAGGCAGCATTTCTGGATTCCCAACAGGCTGGGAGACACTTCCTTATGAACCCGCCGCCCTCAAAAGCCCCATGTTTTCCACACACTGCTAAAATAAACTCTGTTTACCTCCATGACTAATTCCCTCTGCTCTCCATGCTTTCTCTGCTTAGTCGCCAGCTGCGTGCAAACAGGGCAAGTAGCTTGAAAACCAGAAAAGGTGCAGCACATCTAACCCTGCCCTGCCACCAGCCAAAGGCTCATCAGGCCAGGATAATTTCCATCACAAATTCGGAGCAGACACTGCTAAGATCAAGTCCAGAGGCACAGCGCCCTTGCATGTTTTCTCTATTAGCTCTGCTGCTCTCCAGAGGAGACCCGAGGCACAGCCCAGATCTATCACTGTGAATGTTTTTTTGGTGTGTTTTTTTTTTTTTTTCAAATGAGAGTTAGGGGAAAAAGCTATGGTTGGTAAGGAAGGGGGAAAGCAATGCTGTACCCATTGCTGCTGCCAGCCTGCATGCGCTGCGGTGGGTACCAGGCAAGGTCTGCACCCCACCTCTGCTAGGAAACACCTCCAGGAACACAGGCCACCCAGCAAATGCTTATTTTATTAGTATTCAATAAAGGTTAAAACCCTTGTCCCCTGAAGATCCCTCCCCAGCCCTTCTTTTCATACCAAAGTGAAACCTGCTCAGCCCAAGGAAAGCCAGCCCCTTCCCAAGGCAGTCCGGGCAGGGCTGCTGTGAAGGGAGATTTGATTAACATAGCCCCACTTAAGATTTATGAGCCTCTCCCTCCACCCCGTCCTGTGATGCGTTAGACATTGATTCATTTCACCTTTAACTCCAAGATGCTGATCAGCCTAGAAAGTGAAGGCATTATTTATTACTTGTATTAAAAATTAAACCTCTCCAATGTTAAGAGGACAGGTTTAAAAATCTGCAGGTTGTTTCTGTCTTAGAAAACCTATTTTTAACAATCCTGACGTGGCTCTAACACTCGTTAGAGAAGCTCCTCTGGCCAGAGCTAGAACATAACAATGATTCAGTTCCTACATTCTTTGGAGAGTCTTCAAGGAAAATTGCAGTGATTCATTCCGGTATTAAAGAGCTGAAAAACACACTGGTAAAATACGAGTTTCCGATCCGCGTTGGAGACACCGTGCCTGTGCTCCTCGCCGCCCCTGCAAGTGTTCCCACCACCTCTCCAGTTAGATTTGCTGTTTTTACTGGGACACAGAAACTGCAGCTCCTGCGGAAAGCAGAGGAGCTCTGCAGCACCGGCGGCTCTGTAGCTGTCCCAGCCCCGGCTGCAGCAGGGCAGTGCTGGAAGGGACGAGGGCTGTGGGGTTTGGGGCAGCTCTTGCTCAGCAGGAATCTGCTACCCACAGCACCGGGGCAAAGAGGAAAACTCCCGCCCTTGGGCTTTCACCAGACACTAGATTGGGGTGTAGCAGCTGCAGCGGTTTTGCGACTTGCATGTACAAGAAGATGACAACTGTAATCATTCTGTGATAAAACATAAGCGTCTGGTCACATAAACAAATTCCAACATTAATGTACAGTAATGCACTTAGTGTTTCACATGACACACACTTCACTCGTGCTTCAAGTCCCATTTCCAAAGCATTTTCAGGTGCAGCTCAACCAGACGCTCTCGACAGGCCACCTCTGTCCACTCTGCGACCTCCATCCAGAGATGAAGGTTGAAAATTAAACCCTGGGACACTTCCAGAGTGACAGCCATCCACCACAGCTAAATAAACATGAAGTTTAGGAAGAAGGCACTGACACTATGACTTCAGAAGGTGTTTCTATCTTTGGATAAAGTGAAGTTTTATAACGTTTATGCACACTTGGTGACCTACATGGCAATTCAGGAAGATGAATTTTTCTTGAATTTATGGTATTTTAAAGTTATATATTAGTCTACTGTCACCTAGTATAGATGGAGGTCAATTAGAAACAAAAAAAAAATACACAAAGCTTTAAGCTCTTTTTTTTAAAAAAAAAAAAACTAAAACTACTGGGAGGCTGCCTACTTGGCAACTGTTTAATTAATTGTTCTGTCATATTTACAACACCCAATTTTTTTTTGTGACTCACTCTTTAAGGCTGGCAGTATACTGTGCCATTTTCTTTAATAAGGCTAGGTAAACTTCAATTTGCTGTATATAATATGCACTGAAAACACCCACAAATACCGCTGTGATCACTCTGACTTCTCTAGCCAACCCAAGGTATAGTGCGAGTACACGCTTTTGTCAAAAGAACAACCTTCAGAAAAAAAAAAACAAATAACCCCAGCCCAAAAAAGTCAACCTCCTCCTGCCTGCCTGCTTCATTCATGGATGTCACAATACAGGTCTGATGTTTTAACTGTTCCCAGAATGATGGATGGTGACACCTCTGGATGAATAACCCAGCGGGAGGCAGTCAATCACAGCAGCAAAGACTTGGGGCTGCGCTGAAATATCTTGAGAAGCAGCAGGAATAGGAAAGGAAGCATGCAAAGAAACAGATGTGGTATTTTAATGAGGTTTTAGGAATCATCACCTAAAACACTGCTTGTGCGTTGACGATGCCTGAGCGTCTGTGACAGCCATGCCCATGGAGTGGTTGATGTTGTGTTCCCAAAATGAAAGTTATTAATCCCATCAGAAGGTCACAATGGGAAATTTCACCTGCCAGTGGTAATATGCTAAATGCTAGCTATTTAATGGCACTCAGGTTTGTTTGTTTTTTTTTTTTAAAAAGAACAAAATTGTTCCCTCAGTGTTCTTTTTTTGGGGTGGGGTGGGTGTGGTGTTTTGACTTTCTGTGCTCAGCAACGGCTGCCTCTTGTTTCAGGCATGCTGCTCACCAGCCTGATTCGATGGTGATATGTCCTCTGGATGAACCTCAGCCCTGTAACGCTGACAATCGGGATGGCTTATGAACAGAATGAATCAGGATGATCACGAGAAGAGAAGAAAACCACTCTTCCTTCCATGCTACCATCTGATTCATTTTGTAAAAGTGCAGTCGAGCAGCATCTGTTCACAGAGCAGGCAGAAGAGAGTCCACAAGTGACAATTCCAGAACGACAAGCAGGAAGAAAAGAGCTGTGCGCTTCAGCCTCTCTGTTCAAAGGCCTCGTGGTGGCAAGGTGCTGCCTCTCCACTGGTGGACATTACTTAAAAGTGGCATTAAATGCCCTGCCAATGATAAGTCTGCGCACTTCACTGGTGCCTGCCCCTATCTCGTAGAGCTTGGCATCACGCAGGAAACGTCCCATGGGATAGTCATTGATGTAACCATTCCCACCTGCAATCAAGAAGTCAAAAGTCATTTCTTCTCTCTGATTTCAGGGGCTGAGGGTGGGGTGGGAGAGAGCACTGCTCTTGCGCTGCGCTTGGCTCTCTCCAGCCACCGCTCACAGAAACAAACCCTGGCAGTGACCTACCCAGACACTGGATGCCATCCAGAGCCACCTGGGTAGCACACTCTGCCGAATACAGGATCACTCCAGCACAGTCCTAAAGGAGAGTCACAGTGATGACAGTCAGGAAAGGTGTCACCTGCCCTTCTCCAAGCTCTGTGCTGCCCTGACCTTTCCGTTACTCTGCAGACAGCTGCTGACAAGCCTGAACTACTTGATCACAAAGGCACAGGATTCATTCCCCAGCGAGCAAGAAGCTGCTGCAGTCTTTCCGACACTACAAAACACTGTGTCAGGTCTGTAAACGCCGTGTGAAGACAGAAAAGAAAAAAAAAAAAAAAAAAAAGACAAAACGTGTGCAGCAGGGGAGCTGGCCTCTCACAAATGCACATCATACCCACAGGAGACTAAGGTGGTTTGATTCGGGATGCAGGGCTCTGTGCTCCAACTGTTAAACACTCAGTGTCCTCCTCAATAGTGGTGGTAACAGTGCTGGTTGTGGAGACAACACCACCTCGGAATGACTGCTACAAGCCCCCTCCAATAGCCAGGATGTTGTATTTGGGCTTCCAATGAACACCTACTGATGCTGCTAAATCTGTTAGCTTGTAGAACAAGGCTTTTTTTTTTTTTTTTTTTTTTTTTCATTTGGGGCAAAAAAAAATGCACTTAGGGCTGCGAGTGAGTCATTTTAACCCCCAGTACAGAACCTCCACCCTGCTCACGATGTGGGAAAAAGGGAAGGGAGTTCTCGCTGCAGACACAGCCCTGGTGGAAGCGAGCTCACCTTTGCATTGAAGTGGCCCTGGTCACAGGCCTTCGCCACGTTGTAGACGTACTGCCGACACGCCATCAGCCGCGTGTACATGTCAGCCATTTTGCCCTGCATGAGCTGCGCGTCGCAGGAGACAAGAGAGACACTAATGTGAGTGGGGGGAAGATTATTTTCTGCGCGAGCTCTGGGGATCACCCATTCCCCAAACTGTCTCAGAGAAACTAGACAAAATGAGAGGACATGGGTTCAGCAGACATAAACGAGGGAGCTGGAGGTCCTGTCAATTCACCACCTCCCTGTTGTCAGCCGAAGTCCCTCACCCAGCAACAGTGGCCTCAGGCAAACAGGCTCAGAGATCCTTTAACACCTCCTCACCACATCATTACATCACACAGCCCCAGCACAAACTCCAGGCAACCTTCTCCATGCAAAGCCCTCCCATGACAGAGCTCTTTGTCTTCTCATTTTTGAGGAGAAAAGCAAGACGGTAAAAATTTCTAATTCCTTTTCTGTCTCACCTGGAAGTGGCCAATTTTCTGTCCAAATGCTTCTCTTACATGTAGGTATGGAATTGCATGGTCAAGAACAGCTTGCATGAGCCTAATAGAAGCACAAATATGCAGGAAAACAAAAGAACTATTAATCAATACAAATTAACTCTTGGAAGGACAATCTAAGGCAAAAAGGTTCTCATACCCAAAATGATATGCTGCTGTCTTCCTATAGCTCCACTCAAACAATGTTAAGAATAAAATCCAAAGGCCCCATTTTTCCCCCTAGTGCTCTACACATTGCTCATTTGGGACATCTTGTGGTAAGCTCTTACCTTCTTAATTCAGGGGACTGAGATAAATTGTTGAAGAGGTTTTTTACAACTGTAGACAGGACAGTTTGTGCTGCCTTGCATCTCCGGAGACCACCAACTCAAGAAATACCAGCCAATACCATAAAAAAAGTGTAGTCAAGAACAAGAAGGGTGAAAAATCCTCCTTCTGCTTTGTGGAAGATGGTCTTTCCACATGAGGATTAGTACAGATAGACCAAGTGGGAGAACAAAAGGACTGTAGGGTAAAAGAAATTACTGGGGAGCTTAAGGACTGACTGAATGAACAAACCCTTTACCCAGTCCAGTGCTCCTTCTTTGTAATAATCTGGATACTGTTTTAGATTTTAAGGAATCAGTAACACAAACTAGTTATTCCCAGAATAACAGACACCGTAGGGATACGCAAACAGCAATTGGGGACCAAGGCAGATTTATCATCTCTGGAAAAGTTTACATCAAAACTAGTATTTTCAAAAGCATGCTCTGGAGGGTCTGTGGATTGTGCTACACTGGAAGGCAGAGATTTGCAAGCTTTCTTTCTGGCATTGCTTCTTCTACCCCTTGCCCCTCAGAGAGTGTTCCACATAGATTCTTTCAAACTGAAAAAAAACTTGCATGAGGAACAGAGAGGTGAGGAGAGCTAGAGGGAAAGGGGGAGCACAGGCAGAGCGAGCTGTGGTTGCCTGGGAGTGCTGAGCTGAGTCCCCTCGAGCAGGAGCCCATCAGAGCCCCTACAACAAAGCTAAAGAGCACCCAGGACCTCCCTGCTCCTGCCTCCTCTGCAGCCTGCTCCCTTCTCCAACCCCGACCCAGCCTTCCCTCTTCTCTCAGAAGCTGCCCCAGTACCTCAGTTCTCCATCCAAGGTACATCCTACCGAGAGCTGCAACCCCACTTGGAGACCTGCTGGGTTAGGTGATCAGGAAGGAGCCTTCTGGTCTTACAGTCTATAGAAGATGATAAATCCTTACCCCAGTGGTCCACCAGACAGGACCAGTCTCTCCAGATCCAATCCACTCATCAGAACATAGACTCCTTTGCTCAGCGTCCCCAAGATATTTTCAGCTGCAATCGGCAAAGGAAAGGGATTTACTTATGTGCAAAACTAAGATAAGCTGTTGTCTGAGTGCCTCGGTTCACTGGGGAGAGGATTCAAGTCTTCAGTCCCATACAACCTTTCTTTTTGGCTCAAGACACACTCAGGATGAGCTAGGCAGGAGCTGAGTTTAGATACACATAGTTCCTACCACAGAAATGTCTTTTCAATCCAACCAAAGTCAAAAACGGAAAGGCAGTAAAGGGTTATAAAGAGCACCTACCACTGCTGCTATTCTCTTGCCTATTTGCTAAAAAGTAAGTGCTGCCCAGAGATCTTCCAGCTCAGAATTTGTAGCAACAAGAATAGGAGACTTAATAGCCTGTGAGAACAAATGGGGAGCCCCCTTCACCATGCCACCAGTTTGTGTTTAGCCCAAATGGACAGCATTACCACCTGACGTCTACTGAGTGTGGATTTGAAATGAATGCAAATCCGGGTCTGATACGCTTGGGTCACCTCTCTGAGCATTCCCAATACAGGAACCAAAGCTTACACAGGCAAGCAGTCAAAGCTCACCACTTATCACACCTCAGAGTATTATATATTAGTCTTCTGAAATTAGAGAATACAAACAGTCATTATCTCCCCTTCCGTGAGGGAGGCTGAACAGAACATTGCAGCTGTTATAAAAGGCAAGTATTAGTTCTGTGAAAATGGAACAGGAAAATAGCCATGTGAGATAATGGCCTGAGAAAAAAAAAACACAAGAAACCATTTCACTGTGGGACAATCTGAAGCATATGCTGATGTTAACAAGTATAAAAAGAGAAGCAGGAACAAAAGGCTCATCTCAGCAAGGCTGTACTCTTACAATCAGGAAAGAACTTAAAGCCTAACAACTGTGCTTTGTAGATGGACAGAGATTATCCACTGATCACACCATACAGGAGAACTGACATGTACTTCAGACTTTGATCACTAGAGACCTGAGAGGTGTGACATGCAAAGTGAAAAATGAGACAGGACTTGGACATACGCAGATAGTCTCCTGAAATAAATAATCAGTTTTTCAGTGGCAGAAGCTCATGGACTGTATTGTCTCTTGCTTATTGAAAAGCATGTTAGGACAAGGGGTATTGGCTTTAAATTGAAAGAGGGTAGATTTAGATTAGATAAGGAAGAAATTGTTCCCGGTGAGGTGGTGGCCCAGGGTGCCCAGAGAAGCTGTGGCTGCCCCCTCCCTGGAAGGGTTCAAGGCCAGGTTGGACGGGGCTGGGAGCACCCTGGGCTGGGGGAAGGGGGCCCTGCCCGGGGCAGGGGGTGGGACTGGGTGGGCTTTAAGGTCCTCTCCAACCCAAACCAGTCTATGACTATGTTGTTGTACCATATGAAGAAGTGCAGTCTCTGCAGGGCCACCATCATGATATTGGAGCTAGAAAGAGGAAGAAGAATGAAGCTTGGCTTTCAGAGAAAAAGCTCAGAAACCCCACAAACAAGAAAGAGAATTGCTAATAGCAAACATTACTTTGAAGAACAGAACACAAACACCAGCATCAGTAATAATAAAGTGACAAAACTGTTCATGAGTAATGATTTCTCACAGTGAGAAAAGGAATGAAGAGCCTGAACACTTTCCTGTACGTCCAGGGAAAAGGGATGGATATGTATGTGGTGAGCTGAAGGATGTGTGCTGGCTGCACAGGGTGGACAGACCTGCTGACTGTGTGTTACAGCAGAAAAAAAAGAAAATGCTGGGGCTCTGAACCAACTTTTACCAATGCAACACGACCAAATGAATCCATGGACAACACTTACTGTGAGAAAAACACCAGCCACTCAGTGGAGCATGGCTGGCAGTGAAACCCATGTATTTTAAAGTGGATGGAATTGCAGAGCTAGAGGACACCTTGATCTGAGAGAAAGATCCCGCAGACGTATAAAACAGCATCAAACTGGTTCAGCTTCCAAGGCAGAAGATCAGAAGTGGCATTAATGGACAGAGTGCAACGTGTATTAACTTTCAACACTGCAGCGATGTTCTTCTCTGAGTTATTCGAAAATGGAAATCCCGTTACCATGAGAACATGCTGTTCTGTATGGATGATTACCCAGGAGATGATCTGAAGACTGGGGCACTGGCCTTTCTGATTTCAGAGCAGAGGGATCCAATAAAGTTAGAAATGTCAGATTTCAGCTGAAACTCTTCCACTTACTGCAGAGCAGCTTTTGGCGGTGTATGGGGAGCAGGAGAGTTACTTGCTCTTCAAATATGCAATTAGGATTTTCATGAGCTGAGTTAAGGCATCTCCTCCACTTGCTATACAGAGGCTGTAGTTTTTCTATCAGCAAAAATAGCCACTGGAGTAACAACAATGGCCATTACAGTGGCCTCTGCTCTACTAACTAGCTGGGGAAAGGATGCCCATTTTCAGGCCCTGACCCTAAAAGAACTCAGGAATGTTACAGGCAAACCAAAACGCTGCTGGCCAGTCTCCAGTGATTTTGAAGAAAAAAAACAAACTTCAAGGCAAGTAAGTTCTCCTATATACAAGTTGGGGAGCTCTGATGGAAACAAACAAGTTTCTTTGGGAGCCTCACCTGGGCTCTGCAGAAGCAGTGGGAAAGAGTTAGGTCCATGAGGGCGAAATGGGAGTGACCTCACAAGGGATGTGCTCGTTCACTGGAATCCAGCAGATTGAACTTTTCCAGTTTCACCAGCTCTGTTGTGTGGTTTCCAAAGAGCAGATAGCCATCTGCAAAGCCCTCTAGGTCACAGTCTGAACACACATGTAATTAGCGATCCAATTTATCTGATCAAGAAGACAGGAAACCACCACATGCATACTGCCATGATTTGAACCCAACTCACCTGGGATCTTACAGTCTTCAAAGATCAATTCACAGGTATTAGACCCTCTCATTCCCAGCTTATCGAGCTTCTGGGCTGTGCTGAAACCTGGCATTCCCTGCGAGGTCAAGACAGTAAAAATACATTCCAAATCTCAATTCTGACAGACTAACTAAAATCACTACTGCTCTGCTAAATTTCCCTGACCACGCGAACAGGCGTAGGGTACCAGAAGGGAATCAAAGGGAACTGCCCACTCTGAGAACAAGAACAGGCCTAAGTGCAAGTGCAGAGGAAGCAAACGAGCAGAGAAACATGCACACCTGGGGGGCACATGTGAACAGAGTGCATCCATTTTCTAATGCACGTAAATATTAAATAAATATTTATTTGGACAGCTGACAACACTGACTCTCCTAGAGTAATGGTTGCAAGCTTTGCCAGTAACTGAACTATTCTAACCACTAAGTCAGGTTAAGTCCATCAAAAGGTTTACTGATTTCTGAGATTTTACGTTTCCAGTGCCATTTATTTTATTACAGTTTCCTGCCTTCCTTGTGGTGACAGAGATGTGTACATCATAGCCTCAAATAACTAAAAAGGAAGAAAAAACCCAATAGTTTCCTGTTCTCCAAGGGCTCCCCGTTGAACAGCCCATTTCTGCTCCTTTTGGCCTGTTCTGCTTTGCATGCATGTTTGGGTTTTTTCAGGACTCCAAAGGGGCAGTACAAGAAAATGGGGGGGGCGGGAGAGGAATGAATAGAGCTATTTTAGTGTCTTCACTTAAAAAAAAAAAAAAAAAAAAAACAAACAAACAAACACACAAAGTTAGACAATGGCATAGTAGGACATAGCTAAAAGCGGATTACATGCTTGGATACCAAAATCCAGGAGTACCCAGCTGACAGCGCAGCTTGCCATGTCACTGGGGCAGGGGACTAACCTCATGGGCTTATAAAATTCAGGCAGAAAGTAGTTTGCCTTTGAGCAAGGGGCTGACAGTTATAGAAAGAGAACCAGCTGGCTTCTGAATGAGCCAGTTAGGGTGAGGGTGTTAGCTTTAAAAACCACACTACAAGAAGCTTGTGAGAGTTAGTAAACCTACCCTCTCCACAATGAAGGCAGTTATACCTCGGGAGGCCGGAACAGCATTAACATCAGTTTTAGCATAAACGATGAGAACATCTGCATCTGGCCCATTGGTGATCCAAAATTTGTTTCCATTCAGAACAAAGTAGTCTCCTAGAAGCAAAGAGCTGCAATTTGTTAGCTCGCAACAGAGCAAAACCTATGACCTCACTCCACTTATTTCAAAACAGGCTTCCAAGGATGCCCTTTAAGACCCCCACATACAGCATGCACAATCCTTCCCAAGTTCAAGAAAACTCAGTTCCTTAATTTCTAGAGGCACCTACCACTGGTTCCACCATACCACCAACCTCCACCATCACAGTCTGAAGCCCACTTTTAGACCTTCAATCACCCACCTCGTGTCTTCACTACCGGGCTTTATCACATGGTGAATCTCCTGGGAGGCAGCACAAGCCTGCAAACATGGCCTGGCATACCCAAGACTAAGCACTGTATCTCACTGGTGTTGAGGAGGTTAGTCTAACTTTACAGGAGATGTTATTTACCCCGGCTGTCTACCCAGGCAGCACATGACAGGCTTTACCTTTCTTATCTGCTTTCAGCTTCATGGACACAACATCAGATCCAGCATTGGGTTCGCTCATTGCTAAGGCTCCAATGTGCTCCCCACTGATTAGCTGGAAGAAAAGACAAATGTAAGAAAGGGAGCAAGAACAGTAGCATTGTTACTGTTCCCTCTTTGGTCTGCCTTCCTTTATTTTTTTTTTTTTCCTGCCCTGAATCTCCACAATAGCTGTTTTACTCAAGAACTACAAATGAGAGCTGTTGCTCCTGGTAGACTCCTAGCAGGGAGCTCCCTTGTGCTGCTGTGTGGAGGGCACAGAACCAAATCACAGTGGGATGAGAAGGATGACTCAACTCATGTCTGAGCTAGATAAGAAAGCCCTGCTTATAAAACACCATCTCCAGGAAGGTGCCAAAAGAACCATGCAGGCAGCCATATGCCTTTCACAAGCTCCTTGTTCCGCACTTCACGACTGCCCTTCTACATAAACAAGAGTTGTTAAACACAAAAGGCCTATGAAGGGGGTGGAAAGAGATTGCAAAGTTCTTAGCAATGTTCTCATAGCCCGGTCCCCCACACTCGCACCACAATAGCAGATGGACACCCTCCTTCTGTGCCTGCTCATACCAGGCTCTGGCATAGCTGTTGCTTCCTCCTCACTGTTCCTGCCCTTTTCTCCTTGCCTTTTTTTTTCCCCTGTGTACTTTTGTCCATCTTCTTCCCCTATTGATCTCTTATTTTTTTAAAAGCAGACTTAATGTTTAAGATACATGTTGAACCAATTTAATCCACCAGTACATTTCTACAGAAGTCTGTGATCTGCTCAAAACTAGTTGAGTACCACAAACCAAGACAATTAAGAACTAAAGTGATGTCACATCTCATTGAAAGGCAGTGAATGAGGTCATTAAAACACACCTCAGCAGCAATGAAGGCAATTCAGGGTTATGTATTGGCAGGTTGCACAATGTTTTGGGGAATCAACACTATACTTTACATGTGGTTTAAATCAAGTTTCTTCCGCTGATAATTTCTGTAGCTGGGATTCAATGTACTAGTCAAGTTTTTCCTTGCATTTAAATACTGAAATCTGTTTAACATGCTTTTGGCTTTAAACCAAAGTTGCTGGGGGAGGGGAACCTCAGTCCATCCCACTCCTGCCAGCTTGATGCTAGTGCCAGCAGTAGATGCCCAGAGCCTGGAGTCTTCACTGGCAAGGGCTCCAGCCATACCACCCAAGGAGTAGAAGGCAAAGGCGGGGACTGGGAGAAGGAAGAGCTGCCCACCATAGGAGAAGATCAGGTTTGAGACCATATAAGGAATGTGAAGGTGCACAGGTCCATGGGACCTGTCAAGATGCATCCACAGGTCCTGAGGGAACTGGCAGATGAAGTGGCTAAGCCACTATCCATCATAGTTGAGAAACTGTGGCAGTCCGGCAAAGTTCCAGTTGACTAGAAAAGGGGAAACATAACCCCCATTTTTAAAAAGGGGAAAAAGACCTGGGGAACTACAGGCCAGTCAGTCTCACCTCTGTGCCCAGCAAGATCATGGAGCGGATCCTCTTGGAAACTCTGATGGGACACATGGAAAATAGGGAGGTGATTGGCAACACCCAGCACGGCTTCACTAAGGGCAAATCATGTCTGAATCTGGTGGCCTTCTACAATGGGGTTACAGTGCTGGTGAATAAGGGAAGAGCAACTGATGTCATCTCGCTGGACTTGTGCTCAGTAAAGAGTGGCTGGAGAGCAGCCCCAAGGAGAGGGACTTGGGGGTGCTGGTGGGGGGAAAACTGCCTGTGAGCCAGCACCGTGTGCCCACAGCCCAGAACCCACCCGTGCCCTGGGCTGCAACCAGAGCAGGGGGGGGCAGCAGGGCCAGGGAGGGGATTCTCCCCCGCTGCTCCGCTTTGGGGAGACCCCCCTTCAGTGCTGGGGCCAGCTCGGGGGCCCCCAACAGCAGAAGGACACGGAGCTGCTCGAGCGGGGCCAGAGGAGGCCACGGAGATGCTGGGAGGGCTGGAGCAGCTCCCCTGGGAGGCCGGGCTGAGAGAGTTGGGGGGGTTCAGCCTGGAGAAGAGAAGGCTCCGGGGAGACCTTCGAGCAGACTCCCAGTGCTTAAAGGGGTGACAGGAAAGGTAGGGAAGGACTCTGGATCAGGGGTGGGGATAGGACGAGGGGTGACAGGTTTAAAGGGCAGATTTAGATGAGATCTAAGGCAGAAATACTTTCCTGTGAGGGTGGTGAGGCGCTGGCCCAGGGTGCCCAGAGAAGCTGTGGCTGCGCCCTCCCTGGAAGGGTTCAAGGCCAGGTTGGACAGGGCTGGGAGCACCCTGGGCTGGGGGAAGGTATCCCTGCCTGGGGCAGGGGGTGGCACTGGGTGGGATTTAAGGTCCCTTTCAACCCAAACCAGTCTATGATTCTATGAGTCACAAGCATCAGTGCCCCAAATGATGAAGTAGTTTCACATGTAGTTAATTAGCATAGGCAAACCAAGCATTTGGGCAGTGGGAAATGGAGAACAAAAAATACGAGAGCAGTGACTTTCATTCAGAAATATCAAAACAATTTGGGAAGTTGGCAGAATATCATCCAGTGTCACCTCAAAGCTTCATTTAGTAGCAGACCTCAAGGGGGTTGGACTATGATGCCTACGACATGGACCCTGGCTCAGGCTGAGGTCAATAAGGATTAACAGAATAAAATTTAAGAAGCCAGAGAAGGGCAAATTTGGCAAGTACAATATTTCTGAAATGTTGGGTGACTGAAATCAGCTAGTGCTTAAAATGCTACACACTGTGAAAGACACTCATCCTTGCACACAGCCAAAATCCAAAAGCTTTCCAGTTTCTGCCCTCTTCCAGCCACATACCTTGGGCAAATACTTGTTTTTCTGAGCCTCATTGCCGTTACGCACTAGCTGGTTGATACAAAGGTTTGAGTGGGCACCATAACTAAGCCCAACAGCTGCTGATGCACGAGAAATTTCCTCCATCACCAGCACGTGGTCCAGATACCCCAAAGCAGATCCACCATATTCCACTGAAAAGAGAAGAGAGATGTCACATTGACCACCACGGAATATATCACACATGTACTAGGTCCCAGGGTTGTGTTCAGCCTGGAGTGAGACCCCAGACACTTAACAAGAGAGCTTCTGGTTTTGACTGACACTGTCCCTGAGCTGGGCACCTCTGGCTTTCCCCATCCTCTCCGAATGTCAATTTTCTATCTTAAAGGCACAGTGATGTTACTTCTTCAGCACAACCAGTAATTTACTTGTACAGCATAGTTTTATACATATAACATGCATAAGAATACATCTAAAACATACTCCTGGCCCTTGCAACACAGTGAGTCCTTCTGGTCAACCATCCTTAAGTGCAACCTTAATATTATCATGAAGATTAAATCACAAAGTGGCAACCGGTATTAGGTGAGGGGACAAAGGAAGACGTGCAAAGTTTGTAAAGTCCAGACATGTTTGTCATAACAAGGACCCCTAAACAAGTGAGGAATTCTCAAACTGCTCAAAAAGTGGGGCATTAGGGACTTTTCTAAGCCCACAAATGTGCAGGAGACCAGCATTTTGATGGGTGGTTAATTAGGTATGAGAATTATCAACAAATGTAACTGCTGCAATTCACCAGTGGCAAAAACGTGGATTTCAAGAGAGGATGTAGTGAGACAGAGCAGCACGATCATTGTAAATGCAAACCTAGCTTGGCACACTGAGCTGAGTCTAAAACCAGTGGTAAAGATTAAAGGCACACAGTAGAACAGGGCAAGAGAGAAGGCAGGGAGAAAAGAGAAGGCTGAGAAATGCATAATGGCCTTGAGCAGCTGACAGCCTACATAAATATATACATATATATACCTACACACACATCTATATACACACAAATACAGTCACATCCCAATGTAAAAGTTTTGTTCTACAGACACGAAGCAAGCGATTGTACTGCTAAGAGACAGTACAATCTGAAGAGACAGCACTACTAAACGAGGAGGACATAATCACTGTGAAGTAGTCAGGGAGGTAATCCGGGAGCGCTTACACATCGTCAACATGAGTGCTGTAAGCAAGCAGCAGCAACAGTAAAAGTGAATATGTTTGTATGCTCAGAGTGACCGAAGAGCAGAGTGTATAACCTGGGCTCGAAGAGGGCTACTGTCCCTACCTCATCAAACCAACACAATAGCCACTGGCATTATACGCAGCCATTCCTCCCATGTCACTCATTCTGCCTCCTGTCTTCTGCAGGGCTTCTGACCCTCTGAAATCTCTACCACAAATCAGGGTACAAGGGTTTACTATCAGTATCCTAAAAGATGGGTTTAACAGTTGCTCATATGCCAAAACAAGAGAGTTTTCTATTTGTCCCTGGAGAATGGATGGGTTTGGAGCTATTGCCTCAAGAAAGGAAAGGTAACTGCATGCTGTCAGCCCATGATAGCTTTGTACTGCAAGAGGTACAAGAAAATAATCCTGCCAGACGACTTCTCATATAATACAAACCATAGTGTGATTCAGAATGATGCTGCCCTTTCAAAATTACTCTTTATATATGACATGCCAGTATTATCGTTCCATGGTAGCTACATATTTGCATTTCTTAACTTAGCTCTTTATAAAATAAATGGAAAATTACAAACCAACATAGGTTTCTTAGTTTTAAGAAGAAAACAAAAAGCACTGTTGTTTAAAACGCTCCCTTAATAGACCTGATGCACTGGTGCCCAATCATGCCATTTAATTGAGCATACGCCCTCGTAAGATTTCACATTATCTTCACATCCTAAACCCCAGTCTCCACCTCCTACAACAAAACCACTGCCAATAAAGAAAGCGCACACAACTATACAATCAAAAATAAGGCAAAAAAATCTGGGCATAGGAGGGTTTTAGAGGCAAATCTTTGAGGAAATCAAAAAGGACAGGACTCATGAGGGAATGGCTTATTTATAGTGTGGGAAACTGCTGTAAGCCTCAGGCACAACATCAAAGAAGAAAGAAGGTAAGAGTGAGAAAAAACAGGAGCAGCAGTAAATTGGGAAGAGTAAAGAGAAAGAAAGCAGAAATACAGACTCTTTCAAGCAGACTCAGTGCCACTGAAAGAAATGCAGCGGCATTATTTCAACGCATTGCTATTCAGCTTGCTTCTGCAGAAGCCTTTGCACACGCACATCTAGAAACAGACTTTACGATGGGGAAATAAAGGCCCCATTGGCTGCTTTTCTCCACTAAGGGCTTCTCCTCATTACACTGTGTTAGTGCATTCAGCATGACCATAGCAGCCTCAGTAATCTATAACATTAATCAAAACACTTTTCAACTAACCTGGACAAGGCTGAATAAGATTTACCCTGATTTTTTCTGACTGGTTGGATGTGGTCAGCTCTCCATTAGTTATCACAGCTTTTCACAGCATTGTTTTATACCCTCTAACTTCTCCTATTAGAGATGGATGTTTGCTCTAGGATACTTTTATCTGTAGCTCTTGTTCTTCAAAACTTGCAGCAAACACTTCATATTGGAGAAGCGCAAACACGTTTGAGTTGCATATACCTGGAGAAACCATTTCTGAACAGTGCTTTTAAATTGTAAAAGGCATTTTGTAATCACCCAGAAGGCCAACAAGGGAAAAGGATTCTGATCCAGTGAAGAATAAAAAAGTTGCCAAAGAGAGTTTTTAAAAAGCATGAAAATAGGAGATTCTGGCCAAAACAGATGTCTTATCACAGACAAGGTTGTTATGAACTGGAAAGGGGGAGTTTAAGTAGCCTCTCTTTTGTTTCAAAAATCACCCACCAGAAGGTAAAAGGTGGGAACAGACTTACCAGGAGCTGTGATCCCCAGAACTCCCAGTTCCCCGAGTTTCTTCCAAAACTCCTACAAATACAGAACAAGCAATCAGTCCAGCCTCACAGTCAGGGCATCAGCATAAGATGTTTTCCCAGGTAGCTCAACAGACACATCAATTTACCTTTTTCTTCTGATATCTCAGAGATAAATACACCGATACCTACTCCTCCTGCACCAGCAGCTCCATCATTTGGACCAAGAAGCCAGACAGGCTTAAGGACATTAGCTATGCTATGCATGGGAGGAATCTGTTGAATTCAGTGAAAATTCACAACCTAAATTTAATTCTGGAAGGACAGGTCCTGAGTTTAAACTCATTGCCCAGTTTAAGAATTCTGATGAATTAAAACCTCCTATTAACTTAAACTGCAATTCTACCCTTTCACATACTATTTCTTGCTAAAGATAATTTAAGATGTTATAACTCAAATTCATGCTTCTCTCTGACCTCATACATCCTTGCCACTGTGCTCTAGCAGGACTGTATAGGCCTATCAGCCTGTGGTTGCTGCAAATAGCAGTTAGCATAAGTTATCCATCACTGAAACCCTGGATATACTTAGAAGAGTTGCTGTTAACCAGGAACTTAACTCTTCTAGTCAAACAGAAACTCATAAGTAAAGCCAAGGAGGCCTCCTTGGGAAGAGATTTAAAAAAGGGAATGTTACAGCTGGGGCAGACAGAGGTGCTGCCCACCTCGCAGGTGGTACTAGAAGAGTTATAAACAGTGACCACAACATAGAGTTTGTAAACACTTTGGACTTGCGAAGCTAAAGGAGCTGAATCCACAGGGGCCACCCAAGTACCTAACCCAGAGGTTTTCAAGACTGCCAGGACACCAGACACACCTGGGGACTGGATAACATTACTGAGTTTTGCTTAGCTGGACACATACGCTACCAAGTTCACCTGCCAGTGGGCAAGCTGTCCTCCTTGACTGCTGACTCCCCCTCTGCCCATTACCCAGATTTACTGCTCTGGCAACACCACCACTCAGGTGACAGGCATGCCATTCAAGGCAGAACTGGCAGCTGACTTGAGGCAAACACATCAGCTGTGTCTGGGCCAGGGCACTGCAGAGAGGGAGAGAAGCTGTGACATAATGCAGTAGCAAAGGATGTCACCAATGAGGGCCATATGCATGCTGGAGCAGCCATCTCTTTGCTACTCCTTCAGACTGCAGCCTGTCCTCCACTACGTGATGGACACACAGGTGAACACTTGTGACACGGCATCAGTGTCCAGGGATAAGATAATTATCAGTGAACAGTCTCTAGAGACTTCAAAAAGTATTATTCAAAATCTCTGGATGACATCTGGTGTGCCAGACTAACTTTATATACTTAACTTCAAAGCTGCGCATATATCCCTGAAAATGTCAACATCAGAGCTCCGGGAAATCCTAGCAGATGTTCTGAGCTTTTTAAGTCTTGTGGAGCTTATGAAAACCCATAGTTAGATCTCCCCTTTTCATCAATCAAAGCCTCCACTTGCACAGAAGTCGTTGTTTTTATTAGGAAGGCAAGTTCCAGCTCAACAGTCAAACAACTCTACATTTCAGCATTTGAACACAATATTTTCACAACAAATTTGAGAGGAATGCAGATGTCCAAGGAAGAGTCCTAGCTAGGAGAATACAAAGCACATATTAGAGAAAGAGTCTGAACAGAGAGAATCCAAACAAGACCATTACCAATCCATTTTTTTATTACTTTTTTTAATTGCATGCTGGCTGGGTTCTGCCTCAGGTTGCTGAAAGTTGTTAATAACAGATGAAACGGGAAATCAAAAAATTGTTTTCTTGATGGCTTTCAAGTTTGAAAAGTTAATGCATATGTTCCTGTAGTGTGGAGTGGGATTCTTTGTCTGGATTAATGTACAGCTCAAAGCACAGACAGGCTTTCTCTACCATCTATTTTAAATGTACACATGAAATACTTGCCCGCATGTCTTTGAATTCATTTTCCTGATCAATCTGCTGGGCCTTCGGAGCCAAATGCTCTTGACAAAACTTTGTCATGGTCTGTCTAAGCTGGGAAAAGAGATGAAAAGAAACACACACATTACATCTCATCCATATACTGCCATCTTCTCTAGGATACTGCTGACATTCCCCTGCCAGGCAACTCCAGGATCCCAAACTCAGAAGCACAAGACTAAGGAAATCCATGTCCCAGGTTCCTGGCTGAAAGACCAGAGGAAAGGCCCTTTAGTCTTTAAAGAGAAGATACCAATGTACTTAAGTTCCTGTCATCATTTAACCTTAAAAACCTTACCCCAACATGAGAGAACGCTACTGAACCACTGCCTGCACTAGGGCTTCAGGGGATGCTTTTGGTCAGGAAACTCTGAAAGCTGTTAAACAGAGCTTATGATATATTATCCCCATCCAGTAGCTGCTTACGGTTTCATTCAATTATATGCAAATGCATGTAATAAGCATGCATACTAAGTAAAATGTGTTAGTGTATCAAACTGGAACTACATTAACTATCCTACTATTTTCTATAGAGGGAAAATTTAATAAAGTCAGTTATGCTCCTTGATCCAAATGTCGCAAATCTCAAAATCTTTTTCTAAATTTTTAAATCTGAATACTTACATACATGTATTTTGCAGAAGTCTATACACATATTATGAAAATATATACAATATCTTATGTGGTTTTAATATACATATTTAAGACCTTTAATATAAAGATATGGTAGAGTTTAATAATCCCATTTTTCCTTTTGGTTCCTTATTCCCGTAAATTGTTTCTTTACCAGCATTATTCCTAGACACTGAAACCCCCTGCTCTATAACCAGAACCTGCAGAAGGGGCAGAAGCAACAAACCAAATATGCTCAGGCTTCTCTGCCCTTCTCTCATTGCCACAACTAAGGCAGCCAATCCTTCACAATTAAAAAGATACGCTAGTTTCCATGGCTACTCAGAGCTTGGATTCCAGTACCACTAAACAAGTTTCCTCCTGTTGATTTTTTTCTTTAAGTTTTTAAACATTAGATGTGTTTCCATTGTTACAGAGCTGACAGAATGAAACTTGAGCATAAAGCTTGAAAGAAAAAAAGCTTAAAACCATAATAATAATAATAAAAAAAATCTTAATCAATTAGAGACTGAGGGACAAACTCAGACAGATATCCCTGATACTCTAAGCCAGTTGATAAGTAACAGTGTTGTTAATTCACAGCTTCACTAGCATTACCGAAGATTGATTTCTATTTTCGTATTTCCACCAGACAGATATGAACTACAAGAATACTTTCTTCCTTTTACACATGATAAATGTAGAAGTACAAAGAAGCATTAAATTAAGCTGATAGGGCTGTGAACCCTGAACACAAACCTGGTAAAGAATAATTCTGTTGTAAGAAAGAAGTGAGAATGAGTGAGTTTATTTTGTGTATCTGTATGCTTGTACCGTCATAATTATCTAGAAATTAAGGCTATAGCCCCAGACCTGAGAACCACCAATTAAGAGTTTCACTGGTAGAGCCTGTCTGGACCAACCTTTGAAGACAACACCTTTCCCTCTGTGCCCTGGGGCAGCAGGGAGTGAGTGCTTTGATGGCTAGTGCCAGGCTGCTGTAGAACATGGGAGGAAACAGTAAAGCTAAGAATTATTATCCTAAAGCTTTAGGCCCCACATTGGGTAAGAGAACACTCAGAGCTGCAACACTTTTGAGAGGATTTGACAAGACCCAATTTACATAGATCAGCTCGAGGGGGTCCAGAGGAGGCCATGAAGATGCTCGGGGGGCTGGAGCAGCTCCCCTGGGAGGCTGGGCTGAGAGTTAGGGGGGTTCAGCCTGGAGAAGAGAAGGCTCCGGGGAGACCTTCGAGCGGCCTCCCAGGGCTTAAAGAGGTGACAGGAAAGGTGGGGAGGGACTCTGGATCAGGGGTGGGGATAGGACGAGGGGTGACAGGTTTAAAGGGCAGATTTAGATGAGATCTAAGGCAGAAATTCTTCTCTGTGAGGGCGGTGAGGCACTGGCCCAGGGTGCCCAGAGAAGCTGCAGCTGCCCCCTCCCTGGAAGGGTTCCAGGCCAGGTTGGATGGGGCTGGGAGCACCCTGGGCTGGGGGAAGGGGTCCCTGCCCGGGTCAGGGGGTGTAACTGGTTGGGATTTAAGGTTCCCTCCAACTCAAAGCATCCCGCGATTTGTTTCCGTGGTGCTCGAATTTCCGATCGAGCGGTCCCAGCGCGGAACCAGCGGACAGCCCCCCCCCGCCAAAGTCCCTCCCCGGGCGGGGCGGCTCCCGCCGGGCACGGCCACCACGTGGCCGAGCCACGCCCCCTCTGCGCGCCCAGGGATAGGCTGGTTCCCCAGGGCCGCAGCCAATCACCGCCAGCCAGCCGCGACACACCCCATCCGCCCGTCCCCCTTCCCCCACCCTCGCCGCGGCGGCCGCCCCCGGGAGCCCGGCGGGCCCGTACCTGCCGCTGCTCCTCACTCAGCCCGTTCACAGTATCGTCCACCGCCAGCCCCGCGCAGCCCCGCCGCAGCAGCAGCAGCCGTCCCAACGTTTGGCACCTCCGCCTTCCGCGCAGCACGGCCCCGACTGCCGCCGCCATGGCTGCCCCCCCCCTCCCCGTACCCCGGGCTGGCCGCAGCGCGCAGGCGCAGCCCCGCCCCCCAGGGAGGGAGGGGGCAGGATGGCGGCTCGGGCGGAGGGACTGCGAGGCCTCACATCCTTCCAGTACTTTAATGGGATGAACACACTAATAGGTACAACAGGCTGAGAGACCGAAATCGGGGAGCCCACACCAGCGAGGGGTGAGGGAACAGAGCCTGGGCAAGGCAATGGGAGCTCCCAGTCACCCCCCACGCTCCTCGGTTTAGGCCATCAAACTTAAGAACTAGGTTTGCAAAGTAGAGGCCACAGAGCTAGGAGTAAACCAGTAAAATAACAATAAAAAAAGAAGACGGTAGAGTCCTTCCTCATGCCTCACATAGCCAGGAGCTGCTCCAAGTCATCAAGGGTTGCTGAGCACTCCTTGATTTCTGCTCGAAAGGAGGCATGCTTCTCCAGTGACCGCTGCCTCCCTTCTTCGGCTGATTTCCACTTGGCCAGCGCTGCCTGTGGGGAAGTCAGGGCAAATGACATTTTACTGACACCAATGTTCCGAATAGCAAAGCCAAGTTCTAAAGCGAGCTCCAACTAGACCACCTGAACTCATCAGCAGGGTCTTTTACCTGCTGGACTATGATTAGCCTACCCCGATTGGGATGGCTTTGACCTTGATTCCTTGAGGAAAATGGCAATTTATGTGTGACCAAACTTTAAAGTCTTATATAATAGCAATGTCATGGATTAGCTCTTAAGTTTCTTACCAAGAGGTGTACAACTGTAATGTAATGACTGGTTTGGTCAGTATAGAGACAAGATTATTGAAGCTGCTTGTGTTTGCAAACTCCTGAGTTCCTAGAGAGACTCCTGAGGTCACTGGTCTGCAATGGTCTCCAAGTTAAACCATATCTTCTGAACTCCAGTGTAACAGCCAGACTGATGGACCAGTGTCCTGCCAGTGGTACTTACAACCACTCGCAACACAGGCTTGGAAAGTCTTTCTGAAGAGGAGCTGGTCTGAGCAGAGCACACCCCAATTCCAGCATTGACATCCATCTTTGGAACTGATTCAGTCTAACCTGAATGCTGTCAGTCATCAATATCACTTTCACCTTCAGCTATATACAATTCAACTTGAAATGGCCATGATGAGAATTAACATTGCCCCACCGTAAACTTTAAGCCCTCTACTTAGAAGGAGAGTAACATACAGTTTCCTCAATGCACGTGTGACAAAAGATGAATGATACTACAGACTTTCACCGTCTAGTTCATTCGGAGAACTGAGCAGCACCGGGAGAAGCAAAATAACCTTCAGAATCTCACTCAGGTGGCTCAGTACCTGATTGAGTCTGAAACAAAGTCCCAGTCTTACCTGAAGCTCCTCCTTTTCTTTTGCAGCAGTTTGATTAAATAGCCTCAATTCTTCTATGAGCTTCTCAGTTAACAGCTGAAGAGCCAAAAGGAAAATAGTTTAACAGAATGCCAAGAGATACAAGTCTCAGCAGCTGATTCCACATCAGTAGAAAAGGGCCGTAGCACACAGATCTCTCAAAGCCCATTTAACTCCTATCACTGTTTCAAAATTTTCTTACCGTTGTCTGTTTCTGGCATTCTTGGGTCTTTTCTTCCTCCTCCAAAATGTTGCTGCCTGTAACTAATTTATGAGATGCGTTAGTGAACCTATAACATACTGCTAACTTCTCTTATAAGAACTAACAGCTTTTCAAAGTAAATTTCTACAAGAAGACTAAATTATTTCCAAAGTTTATCCGGGACAGGGCCTACTACAGGAAGCAGCTTTTATTCTGAAGTTAGATCTCCTGGAGTTACAGCAGTAAGTCCTTGGCACAGAAGCAGAGTCCAAATATCTTATAAATAGTCACAACAATGAGGGGGAAGGTAAGAGGGAATTCTGAAGAACGAGTGCCAGAATGGTATGTGAAGTGCATAGTACTTACCAGGATCAATGTTTCTGCTTTCTAAAATCACCATGCAAGTCTCCTGAAATTTCTTGAGCTTCTCAACTTCTTGTAGCAGGCCTTCATTCTCCTCCTTTAACTCCTTTATAGTGCACTGTCATTAACACAGGTTGTGAGTGAATCAAGTTTCCAAGGAGATTTTGTTCTCATTAGTCAGCAACACTGCGTGTGATGCTCATGGCTTAACAAATGGTCCACTAGCACCAAGAATCAGATCTCACTGTTCTGGCTCTACCACCACAGCAGACTAGTCTGCTGCAGACCTTTCCTCCTGCTTCTTGACAGGATTAATACATTTATCACATCCACATGTCATAGCAATTACTAGAAAAATTTGATCCTAGAGAGAAACTCCTTTTAAGCAATCCTAGCAAATCTTTTCTTGTGCTACCTCTCATATATATAAGTAATTCAAGAGTTTGATGCACAGGAGAGCATATAAATATTAGGAAGAAAAGGGCATCTCAGAACCTTTAAGCCACAGCATTATTCCCAACACATTTCAGATATTGCCACGCAATCGAATAAGCTGATCAACCTCACAAGTGGAATGCAAGATTCTCCAAGAGAATCAATAAGCATGTGGATTAGGGTGATCCAGCTGATGGTGTCAGGAGCTTTTTGAACATTTCATAGGTCTCAAAGGCTCTTAAAGAAATCAAGCTGTGAGATATGAGAAATGATCATCTCACAGATCAGTAACTGGTTGAGATCTAGGAAATAAAGTGAACTTTTACAACAGAAGGTTACCAGTAGGGCCTCTTGCACATGACAGAAATTGTGCTAAGTGTGTTCTAGAGTGATTGGTTAGAGGTGGTGAATAATGAGGTGCTAATTCTGAATCTAAACTGGATTCAAGGAAGTCAAATCTGTTTGAAACAGAATCCACTGAACAGTCTCAGCTCTCTCAGCCTTTCCTCCAGTCCCTTAGTCATCTTATTGGCCCTTTGCTGGACTCTCTCCACTATGTCCACATTTCTCTTGTACCTGGAGCTCAGAACTGGACACAATACTCCAGGTTTGCCCTCACCAGTGCTGAGCAGACATGAAAAAACTTGCAGAAGAATACAAAGACACTACAAGATTAGGCAACAATAGGACACAGTAGTGCATGAAGAAACTGAGCTCTGCATTAAGTGATCAGAAGAGAATGAGGTCACTGTCCCTCAAACTTAGTGCACAGCAGTGACCAAAATCTAGAATGTTCTTCATTACTAAAATGAGACTATATACATTCCTGAACCACCCACATCTTCAATACTGTGGGTATTGTACCCAGTAGGGATCAGAATGTAAGAATTACTCAATGATTTAATATTTCCCCTCTCCCCTTTCCTTACCTGTGCTCCTGTTAGTCTGGAGTGTAGCTGTTGTTTGGCTGTTTCTAACAGCTGATTCTTGGTCTTCAGTTCTGTTTCTAGTTTGTATCTGCTAAGAGGTCTGTAGAGTCAAACATCAGAGATTTAGGGACAAAAATACCAGTATTACACACCTTCTCTTTTACTTCCACAAACATTCCCTTTTTTGAAGCATTTGCTCTTGTTTTTGACCAAGACCTTTAATCAGCAAACTTGGCAAAGAAGCTGTACATGGGTGAGAACTCATCAGAATGCTCCAAGAGGGAGCATTACTGCAACTAATAAAAATTTGAGGAAACATACCCTCTTGTAGCTGTCTTCTTTGAAAGGGGTTCCACTTTCTTGGCAGATTTAGGCAACCTTAAAAGATGGGTAAAATACAATTACCAGAAGATTCTTGCAGGTTACCAAGTCTGTTAGTTTGACAAAATCTGCAAAATGCTAAACCATCTTTAGGACATGTGCCAACTAATAAATCCATCAATATTTTACTTTCATTTACCCTTGGTTTGTAGCTTTGAAGACACCCTCTGCTGGAATGTTTGAGCTAAAGTTAAAATTGGGATCTCTGTTGAACTCTAGATCTGCTGTTTTGCTGACACATTGTTTCTTTGACGGAAAAGCTGTTTGCATTTCTGCAAGAAAAAGATAACAATGAAAACACTATGGTCTACAAGAGATCATCATAATACGCTGAACTACCGGACCTCAAGTTTTCAGTTTTTGGTAAATCATAACTGTATCTGGTTAGAATGGAGACAACTAAGGGCAGTCTTCAAACTTTATCCTGAATTAAGGGTCTGGAACAAGCCAGCAGTAGTTCAGATGGTAGACAGTATTAACGCATAGTTACCAGGCTAGCATTAATGAGAGAAAGTTTGAAAGTGGTAACAGAAGCACGATAATAAAGGAGGTCTCAACATCAATTAGACAGCATGCCACAGGGCTGTGAGCAAAGCTGTTCAGGACTGGAAGCAGAACAAACACAGCTCCACTTGGAGCTCTCAGTTAAGAAAATATCACAGCTCAATTCACTGTGAGTAGATACACTTCCAAAGTAACACTATAGAGGACCAATTTGCTATGTAAAGTGTATTTGGCTTTAAACCACAGCTGTCTGGGTATATAAAGCTTTGCTCACATAGTGGGTTTAGGGAGCTTTTTTTTTTCATCCCTGCCCCCCAGTTTAAGTATTTTTCAGCTGAAAAACCCAAATGCACATTTGTACTGGAGTAACATGGCAGTTTCAACAGATACAGACTATCTCCCACGTTTTTAGTGTTAAGCCTGAGTGCCTGACATTTCTAAAAAGCTGCAAGTAGTATCAAAAGGTTTATACAAGTTAAAGGCCCTGAAAGAAAGTCTCTGTAACCTCGGCGAGCCGCTGCGGGCAGGAGACACGCACTGGAGCCCGTCTAGCAAAAAAAAAAAAAAAAACAAACAAACAAAAAAAACAAAACAAAACCAACAACAACAACAAAAAACCCAACATAATCCTTAATCGAAGATTTAGAGACAAAGCAGTTGAATAAAGCCCCTAATTAGACTTCGCAGCGGCCATCACAGCCCAAGGCAGTACCGGAGCTCCTAACGGGCACCGGTCCCCCCGCGACCAGCGCGGCGGCCTAAGGCGGGCACCTACGGCGGAGCGGAGCGGAGCAGGGCAGGGCAGGGCCCACCCGCCCTCTCGGCTAAGATACGCACCCGCGGGCGGGCCGGTGCGGTGGAACACGCTGTAGACGGGAATGCGGGAACCCTCCCCCTCCATGACGGCCGCGCTCCCCCTCAGCCGCCGTTTGAATCCAGCCCGCCGCCCAACGGCTGGGGCGGCTCCGCGCAGGCGCGGCAGCGCGGCACTCGGCTGCGCAGGCGCAGTGCGCGCCGGTGGGTGCAGGGGGTGTGTTCTGTGAGGGGGCACGCGCCCGTCCCGCTCTTTCTCGCTCTTTTCCTCAGGGTAGGCGCTGCGGTCATGGCGGGCTCCCTGGGACGGTGCGACAGCATTTCCCCTCGCAGCTGCCTTCAGAAGGAGCCGGCTGCCGGCGGGGAAGCTCTTCCCTGCTTCCCACTACCGCGCCCCGTGGGTTGCGCACTCGAGGCCCGGAGCCCTAAAGGCCTGCGTGTGCTTTGGCAAGGGACTGCGGGCCATGCAGTCGTCCCTACTGTGCTATCAGGGCTCTGCTGCTGCAGCTTGCGTTTGAGGCAGTTCAAAGTGCCTTCCCACACGTTAAGGGGCAAAGAAGGCATCTGTATAAAGTCTTTCTCAGCTTTATGAGGTGTTTTTGCAGTGTTTTCCAACACGGTTTTCAAAAACAGTTTGAGAAGTCCCTCCAAATTGTACTGGAAGCATCTCCTGTGTGGAGGGGGTTTCAGTCAGCCTGAGGGCAGCTCTGCTTGCTAACACCCCCCCGCCCTCCCAAGCATCCAGTATGAGAATTGCACTATGGAAATGCAAATCTGAAATACATTTTATATTTTAAGCGCGGTTGCTAGCTTTAAAAGAGCATATCCCTAATTGACATCAGGCAGTTGTGGCCTGTCACCCACAGAGCAGGGAAAACAGGTGTGAGAAGGAGCAAATCTTTTTAAGATGTATACATTCCTTTTGCTGGCTATATTAGAAAATATATTAGGCACTTAAAAGATGAAGAAAATGAGCCACAGTGTTCTTGATGGAAATGAAACATCACTCAGATGTAGGAAAGTTTGTCATAAGCATTTATTTTATGTCAACTTGTATAGAGAATGTTTTGTCTTTTTCAACAGATAAAGGCAAGGAAGTGTTTGTTTTCCTGTTTGGTAGAGGAAAAAACTGTAAAATTCAAGATTCATCAGATATGCAAATTTTAAAAAGTTTCATTTTTATGGGGAATGCCTTGAGTGGAAACAGCTGTGAAGATGACACACAAAGCACCCAAGTCACTGAGGGATTGAGGACACTTTTCTCAAAGGGGAGATCTCAAACTGAAAATCTTTGGCAGTACTATAATTTCTTCTGATAAAACAAACTGAAAATGTTACTGAAAACAGATTTGGGCTGGATTCTACAGCCTCCTCCACGATCAGTAAGAGACTATATCAACTCAGAAGTCTTGATGAGATTTCTTAATAATATCTGAACTATTTTGATGAGATCTGTGAACCTGGACTTCACATAAAGCAGTTTCTGATTCAGTGGAAAATGAAAGACTTTCTTTTTTTATTACAATAAACTCTTCACTTGATATCTAGATTTTCAATGGTTGCGGGTTTGGGGTTTGGATTTTTTTTTTTTTTTAACATGAGCTCTCTTTCTCTATTGTAAAATATCTGGGTGATTCAAGTCATTATTTCTCTCCTATGTAACCTTGACAAGAAAACAAAATCTAATCACCTTGTAGGAAATGATAAAACAGGTTTCTTTGATAAGTTCTGCAGTACAGCTGTGAATATGGCACCAGACACTGGAAGGTCAAAGGGCTTGTCCTCCATCAAGATCTATCTTACATCCTCTCACTGGTATCAGATTTGCTGGTTCTGTGAAAACACAGGTGTTTACAAGCTGAAATACTATGAAATAGTCTCAGCTCAAGGAGAGGTGGGAGGAAAAAACTGATATTTACAGTTCCAAGGAGATTTCGCCTTCCCCTCTCCCTGGCAGTACAGTTTTGTTTTCTGCAAGGTTTCAACTGTTGTAACCAGAACTTTGTGCGCTAGATCGTTTGATCCAGACATCAGGCATGTCCGGTTGGCTGTTCGGTAACACAACCGGACCTTCGCTCCCTAATCCCAATCGATTTTTCCACGAAGAGCTGTTCTGCGATGCTGCTGGAGAGATATCAAAGACAGTCTCCCTCAGGTCCAGCCGCAGGGTATCTCTCTTCCCGTTCAAGTAACCTCTCTCTGTTTGACTGTACGAATCAGACAGCTCTAAGACATCAGGACAAGAACTGGCTGATTCAGCAAGCTTTAGGCCCTGCTCAAAATCACTAATCGACGTCTCACTGGAGATGTTGAGCATGTCAAAAGAGCTGCCAAGAGAACAAAGGCATCTGTGGATTTTGTGGATGTCAGCGGCAGGGAGATGGCTGTTGTCTGAGGTATAATCCAACTGCTGCTGGGCAGTGTCACTAGAGCACTGTGATTTATTGAGCTGTCCTTCTTCTTTCATGCCAGCTGGCTGGATGTGATCCAGCCCAGACCCATCCCAAGCTTTCAGACCATACTTTCGACACTGACAATCTCGGCAGAGTCTCTCCCTGTGAATTTCTGCCTCTGAGCTGCTGTGCTTGTAAGGAGAGGAAGTTTGCAAGGCAGGACACTGGCACAGGCCAACCTGCCGGTCTCCAAGGTTCTCTTGCAGATTCTGTCTCTCTCTTTCAAGGGAAGGGTGTATTCCTATTCTGGGGCATCTGTTGTCTTCAACTTGTGTGTCTTCAGAGAGCACCGACGGCCGGTTGGACAGCTTGCTTGTGGAAGTGCTGTTGTCAAAACTGTCGCTGAGTTTCCTGGACAAGGGCTGGAGCTCATATTGCTCGTTTGCAGTGTTGGACTCCTGGACCTTCCGCAACCGGTTTTGCTTCTCGCTTCCCCCACAGGCAAAGCTTCCATTCAGCCCGGAGTCATCTGAATAGTCTTTCATGGTGTGGGCACAGGGCCAGAGGATCTGCCCACAGTTCTTCTCTGGGCCAAAGAAGCAGCACAGTGACTGGAAGAAGAAGCTGGCAAACCCACAGCTGATACACTTGATCATCATGATGAATATCCCCAACTTCCTATACGCCAAGACTGTTGCAGGCAACATAATGACCCCTGCAGAGAAGAGAGCAGAAGCTGCCATGGCTGTGGCACAGCTCATCTGCTTCAGGGAAAAGGCCACTCGGCTCAGGCGGTCAGAATGGGAGCACAGATGATAGGAGATGCAGTAGTTGACAGTAAAGTCAACGGAGAGACCTACTGCAGCTGAAATGAAGAGAGACTCCACTGCGTTGAGCTGCCACTCCAAGAGGACCAAAAGGCCAATGGTTACCAGGACAGTGCCCGCGATGGCAGTAACAGAGAAAACGCTAAGGAGAACGTTCCAGGTAGTGAGCAGCAACACCACGAAGGAAACGGCTATGGAGAGCCCCATGACCACCATCATTTCTGTGCTGAGACTGTGCTGGAGGTTGTATAGCTCTAGTTTACTGGTAAACCACCCATTCTGAAGCCCCACAGGGGCAGTTTTCATTTCCTCTGTTACCCAGAGGTTGATTTCCTCGTAGAATTGTTTGGCTTTGCTGTAGTTGAAGCTATAGTGATAAATAGTTTGAAACTGCAGCACTAAGGCAGCGAGATTTCCCTCCCCATCAAACCTGAGGCCCAGATCATACGTTTCTGCCCCTTCCCTGCCCTGTTCCAGGAGCATCATTTTGATGCAGTGTAGGAAGACTTCGCTTCCATAAGGGAAAGAGAACTGGTTACAGCAAAGGTTGAAGCTGTGGTCTCGCTGGGAGCATTGGCGACTGTCCATCCACCTGAGGAACTCCTCCATGAAGCACACAGTAGGTTTCTGCTCTGAGTCAGGGTAATAGAAAGTTTTGTTCTTCACTTTTTGGCAGAACTCGAGGAGCCACTTCTGGGCATCAGGGTTTTGGATTGTGAAGGTAACGTCTGTCACTAGGGTGCCATTGCTTTTTGGATTGAAATGGTCTCCATTATCCACGGGCAGAATGCCCCAGACTATTGTGACGGGCATGCGCTGCCCTTCTCCATGCTCCTGCCTCTCAAACATGAACTGGTGGCAGTACTCAGAATCGTACCTCTCAAAGGGGTGGCTCAGTCTGAACACCTGGACAGACGACGTCTCGAGAGTCGGGAGTTTGAGTTTTGGGTTGGAACAGGAAATATAGGCACCTCCTATCGCTAAGGCAGCAAACCAGCAGATCCAGATGTACCGAAACTTGATGACTCCACAAGGCAGAAGTTTTTCAAATAGCAGCTTGGAGGTTTCAGACAGAGTGTTCTGGAGACCCCTGAGAATGTAATGGAGGGAGAGAGAGACTCTCTTATGACCAGTCTCGTTCCAGTAGTCTTCTGGCTTGTAAATGCAGGTTGTTGCTATGTAGCGCTCATACAGCACAGCTGAAGAAGGAAGCCAAGTCATCATGAACACCAGATTCACCAGCACGGAGGTGCCCATATAAATAGCGAAGCAGCGGATGGCTATTATATTGCTAATGTAGCTGGCATAGAAGGCAGCACCCGTTGTGAAGCAAGATGCCAGCATGAGATATGCAAAATGGTGCATGGTTTGGCTCACCCACTGGGAGAGCCCAGCAGAAGGGTTCTGGCTCTTGCTGAGGTTCCAGAGGTCAAAGAAGACAAAGGTGTGGTTGGCACAAATGCTGCTGAGAATGACGACTGCCGTCAGGTTTACGAAAGGGAAATAGGTGAATCTGAAGGCCACCTTGTACAAGAAGTAGGAGATCATTAAAGAACTGACAACAGTGAGCAGGACCATCAAGGTAATAAAGACTGAGCGTAAATAAAAAGAAATGCTTAGAAAAATAGCTAATATTGCCATGACTGGATACTTAGTATCCAGTAAAAGATAGTGCTGGAATAGTTTCTGTTTAAGGCCCAGGTCCATTCCAGTGATGGATGTATAGTTATCAAACAGATCCCAGGATTCAAGATTGTCTAAGTAGATCCCCATCATAGATGCACCTTTCCTTGTAGGCAAAAACAGCAGGCTGTATTTGAGAGATGGCACTTGGTACTCCATTGTCTGGGGACTAAGAAAGTCTCTGTCGACCAAGAAGTGAAGAAGCTGGTAAATGGCATTGAAGCGGGTACATTTTTCTGGGACTTG